GAACACAAACACATGGACATGCTGGTGGGAATGAGGAAATGAGCAAGCAAGTCAGCAGACCCTGTTAACTGACCCTGACATATCATGCTGCAAATGATATTCGAATCTGGGAGAAATTCTGAGGATTTTTAGAGGAAATTATAACAGAAAACTGTCAACCCATTTCAGGGTAGTCATGAACAAACTCCCATGAAAAAAGTAGGAAACTTCTCTTTTCTCTGAAATTCCCTCTTTACAGGGAAGGGCAAATTTATGAATGGGTATATATTGCGGTGGCACTCCTGAGGATTCAAACAATCCTTTCTTCAGGGAGAAGAGGGAAGGAACAGCTCAGCTGCCTGATCTGACACTCTGCTTCAAGGTAAGCTCTTGCTCCTTCCTCACCTTAGACTCCAATGTTCAAAGTCTTTAATGAGCTGTGGAATAAATATATKTAGACAAAGCCTAGGCAGGAGTTGCTGACCTCCAAGAACAGAATTCATGCATGCACTGAATTTTGCAGCACTTCAGTATTTTCTGTCAGTCAGTAGGGCAACAACAGGAGGAATGTTTTGGGAAAGGAACTCAAGCCAGCTCACCAGAAAATTCACATCAAACTCTTGAATAGGAAGGCAGGGAGAGATTACTAAGTACCAAAATTCCACCCACGACCATGCAAAAAACCTCTGGACAAACAGAGGTGATGTCTGAACTTGTGGAAGAATTCACTCTAAACCATGTTTGGGAAATCTAACAACTCTGCCTTCCTGGAGATAATATAAACTTAGAAAGCATGAGATGGCAGCACAGGCATTTGAAAGTCCTTTGCCACTTTGAGGCTCTGAGCAGAATCCTGTACCGCTCTTTCCCATGGTAGGTTGTTTTCTCTATATCTGATATTAGGTGAGATATTAACTTAGTTTAGATATATTTTAATCTTGAGGAGGGGGTCACGCAAAAGGACCTTTCTGGAATTTCTCTGTTTGATTTGGGGATGATGTAGACATGCTCTACAGTGTATGGTAAAAAGTCACCCCCTGAGGTTCCAGTTCTCAGTTTCCAGCTCATTGGTTCCTGATCCAGGGCTGGTAAAGAGAAAAAGGACAAGATGTGCTGGGYCAGAGCAGGGCTGTGGGTAGTGTGTGTAGCTCAGCATCCTGAATCCAATGGAAATGCAGAGATGAGTGTCAGGGAGAGGAATAGGAAAAGAGCAAATGTRCCAGGTGACTTGGGATGCCTTTAGCAGCCCTCAGCTCAGACAYTTCCCAGGCAAAGGTCTTCAGTTCCAAGACAACCTTCCTGTGACAATTSATTAGGAATGGAGTAGATTTGGATCCTTCCTCATACAGGCTGACTTCCCCCACTGCTGCCTCCTCTGGGAACCTTAACCCTGTGTTATCTTTCCCCCTTAATGTCCTAGTGATTTTTTCATATCCAGGAGGACAGAAGTTACTCCTTTCCTGATCTCTCACAGTCCCCTCCTCTGCCAGCTGTGTCCCCCCTGCCACAAGGAAGATTTTGGGCATGTCCAGCTCTCTCCAAGCTCAGTGTCCCTCTGCATTTGCCTTCCAGGGAGCAAAAGCCATTCACCTGAAATCCTCCCACGATGCTGTGGCTGCTGCTGCTGCAGGTGTTGGCGAGCTGCCTCTGGCTGGGACACAGCGAGGTGGTGACATCCTTTGAAAGCTGTCCCCAGTTCTTCTATGAGGAGACTACCCCAAATGATGCCCTGAAGCCAAACAACCCAGCCAGAATCTGTCAACGCTACAACAACAAGTATCATTTTGCCACGCTGTACGACAGAGATTCCCGTATTCCCATTTACTCTGCTTACATCTACCAGCCTGGAAATTCCTCAAAACCTCAAGCATGGCTGATTGAGCCCCAGGTGAGTGTCTCTCTTACAGCACATTACCCTCCAACCTCCCACAGAAAAATTGTAGATTTGAATTAATATTGCCAAAGCCAAAYACACCTTGCCCTTCCTTGCTGTGGTGGGACACCAAGTGATTGGGAACTGGCATCCAAGAGAGGCTAAATGTGAGGGTGAAGCAGTACTGGACTCTCATCTCCACTTTACCCTGATGTGTTCTACATCCCTGACAGAGCTTATCTGCTCCCAGTGAAGACTCAAATAGGCTTTGTGAATGGCGTGAGCGACATGAGGAGAAACTCAGAATGGGGTGGGATGGCACAGGGACAAAGCCTCGGCAGACACAGGCACTGGAGATAACAGGGTCAGGATAACACTGGGGGATTTCTGGAGTGACATTTCAGGCAGTGCAAAGTGAGGAGCATCAGTGTCACTCCAGTCAGAAGGGTGTGATCTCCATCCATGGGCAGTGGCCCCTGAGCACCTTTGGCTCAGGCTTGATCCAGAAGGATCCAGCAGACACCCAGATCTGCACAAGCTACAG